TGGATATGCACATAGGTAAAGCAATCCATGACATCGTTCATCCAAGCCCTGTCGTCGATCCGCTCGCCAAAAACGTATGCACGAGCCAAGAACATGAGAACCTCGTCAGCGGTAGAAGGAGTGAGTCGACCAAGGGAAGCCATGGTAGGAAGCCTACCACGACCTAGCCACTCCACGTATTCTTTGACCACTCGGCTGGAGAATTGTTCGCCCACGAAGTGGGTCCTCACTTTTCCAGAAGCTGGGTATAAGTTTCCAGGTTCAATGAAGTAATCCGTGTTCCTCGCCAGGGTGTGTTGGTAAGCTATTGCGGATCTGTCATACTGGTGATTTACAACCAGCTCTACAACTAAATCAGGGTCCGCTTGGATTAGGATTGGTCGAGGTGATCTGCGTTGATCTGGAGTTGGTCGAACCGGAGGCGTTGCAGGCACGTTGGATCTTCCGAGTGGTGTTCCGCTTGCTGAGCCATGAGTCGACCTAGCCGTGTCATGGTTGTTCCGCTCTGGTTCCAACGATCGCCGGTTCTGAATAGATAGTGCGAGACCGTTAGACAGCGGTGCTGGCCGACCATAGGGAAAGCCGCTTCCCTGATCCCGCGGCCCGGTGGAAGCTGATGGCGTGGCGGAATTGGAAGGTCGTGGTGCTCGCGGGCCATGGGGGATCTCGATTTCTTGGTTCTGCGGCCCAGTGAAAGCTGACGGCAAAGCGGTAGACTTTTTCAGGATCCCTCGAAGAGGAGGCTCCGTCCTACCATGAGACTTCGGCTTCGGGGCTGACGAAGACGAAACTTGTGTCTGGGCGCCTTGGTTGCGGGTGATGGTTTCGCGTTTGGCCGGCGGCTGTGGCTCGACCCATGGCTCTGTCTGGGTGCCCTGGTCTCGTGTAGGTTTTTTGGGCTCGACTGGAGGCAGTGGAGGTGTCCATATTTCTGTTTGGGTGCCTTTGTCCTGGGTGGGGTTCTTAGGCTCGACTGGCGGCAGCGGAGGTGTCCCTGGTTCTGTCTGGGTACCTTGAGCTTGAACAGAAGTCTTAGACTTGTTAGACTGTTGTGACTGTGCCGGCAATTGTGTTTGAGCCTGAATGACAGTCTTGGCCTTGACAGGCTGTGCCAGTAGTGTCTGGGTATGTTGAACTTGAGTGGGTGGCTTGGACTTGGGAGGCTGCTGCAGCTGTGCCGGTGGTGGTGCTTGGGTTTGTTGGACCTCAGTAGAGGACTGAGGCTTACTCGGCAGTTGTGGCTTATCCGCAAGGGGTCGTGCAGTCGCAGGCTGCTTTACCATTTCCTGAGTAGGTGGTACAAGTCGATCGTTGAGCTTCGGCTTTTGAGGCAATTCGGTCGATGCTCGTACTTTGTTTCCCTGATCTTCAGTAGGCTCACGGGTTTCTCCAAGCTGTTCTTTGAGAGGCGACGGTGACAGCGCCCGATGAGCTTCGAGAGGAGCTGATGACTCGTCGCTAGAATTTCCAAGTGCTGCTTCATCCTCGACCTTTGGCCGGCGCACAGCGTTATCAGCTGCAACTATCGTATCCTGCTTCTCTTTGCCATCTTTTACTTTCACATCTTCTTGTAACGTCTGTGTTTCGAGCGAAAGATGCTTGAGCTTATCGCCGACATCCTCATGAAAGTTTGTAGTATCTTGGAGCTGTCCAGCACCTTGAGACTTCGCATCATCGGTGACGCCTTTCTCACCAAAAGACCATGAGTCGGTAGGGGCTTGGATGCTAGGAAGGGCATCACTGGAGACATCTTCAGCGTCTGATACGTTGCTTGCCTTGTTCTTTCGCGTTGACGGCGTCGTAGTCCAAGGTATCTCAGTCTCCGCGACATCGGGCTCTTGCTGTGGAAGCTCCTCCTGCGGGTCGTCGTTCTTGACTGGCTCAGTTTCAGTCATATCCTGTGCCTGTTCTGTAGTCGGTGTGGATTCTATGGGCTCTTCGGAAGTTTCGGCAACGTCATCCGGTTCGCGTGTCGCATCATCTTCGGCATCATCACGATCCCAAGCTGAGGAAGAGTTAAGGTCCTCCAAGGTTCTGGTCTTGTTCTCTTCTTGCTTGTCGTTCATGCCGCCGCGTCCCTTCTTTTTCTTGCTGGAACTGGCCACCCCATCGGCGCCGGAGGCGCCCTTCTTCTTATTCTTGCCTCCCATCTTTGTGATTGCTGACGTTTGCTTAAGAGTGAGGCTCAGGTGACTCTTGGTGGAGTTTGATGGAAGTTCTGGTTGAGTGGAGTAGAGTAAAGCAGTGCAGTGTTGAGGTATTGAGTCGAGGGTCCGGGGGTTTATATAGGCTAGGGGAGTGGCAGAACGACAGCTACTCAGTCGGTCGGCGCAAGTGCACGCACTTATTGGAGACAGCCACCGGGCACTGCGATACATTGTCCAGCGTGGTTGCGGTAGCGGTGATGAGTGAAATGCAACTGAAGTGAAAGACATTCACAATCGCGCATCGTAGCGTGCGCTGAATATCTTCCAGGCTTCGTCAAACCTCTAAGGTATAACTTTTTGTAGTGGGACGCATTGAACTTCATGGCTTGGTTTCAAATACTAGAACATTTAGAAGAGTATATACTGCTGCATACTGTGAAACAAGGTGCTTAGGAGATACACCCGCATCGCAATTATATACTGTGTTACTTAACTGCATTGTGCCCGCATTCATGCACCAGACGTTCAACAAAGCAACAATCTTTTGTATGCAAACGAGGAAGCCTGCTAGTCTAGTTTGTATCGTGAGGAAAGTCTTCATTGACGAATCGAACTTTGAAAAGGCCCCAATGCCGCATGATGAGCTCCCTCTTGTTATTAGAGAGAAGACACCTCGTACCAAAGACGCACGCATGCTGTGAGCACATGCAGATCTCATTGTAAGGTAAAACTTAAACAGGGCTGCAGGATACGTTGAAGCAACACTTTACAAAATAGGCAATCTAACGTTGACGTAGGCTCTACGCGACCTTGTCCTTTGAGAGGGACGGAGGTTGGTGTTACATAGTTTCTCTTGCCTGAATAGTGTACAGCAGGAAAGTTGCCACCCTTTAGTCGCTGATGGTGTTGTCACCGGTGAATGGCGTAAACCAATTTTGTATGCTAGTAACATGTTGAAACATATCTGCGGTGGCGAGAGAAGTTGTGAGTCCACGGATTGCTGCGAAGTCGGCTAGAGTGAATTAGATTTGCGATAGCGCACGAACGAATACAAATTGGTAGCAGAACATACATTTCTCAGACTTCGTTCAGCATAGGCCAATAACCTTCCGTCCACTCTTCCCATGGGCGCGAAAGTTTCTGTCTCAGATTTATCTTTGGTATTGCATCCAGGACGTCCACCAATGCTTCGCGAGGCAAGCGATTGAAGTCTGGCTTTCGATCCTCGTCCTGAAGGGTAGCATATGCACACATGTCCGCCACTAACGCTCTGATGGGCGAACTTTCGGGCGTGCCACGGTAAAGAACACGTATAGCCTCCTCAGAAGGAAAATCTGGCGTATTGATGATTGTTCGGTCCGGTGGCTTATCTTCGTCATCATAACTATCATTTTGTACACCAGCCATGGTGTTGAGAACAGTCTGCTGGTAATGTCGGTCCAGTATCTGCTCACCAAACACGTATGCGGTCGCAAGGTCGATCCAAACTGGATTGTTTTCCTCGCTATCTTTGAAGGTTCGATAGAGATCGAAGCACCTGGCTGGTACTTTTCCAGAGTACAACCAGTGTGCGTAGGTTTCAACATCTTTTACTGTGTAAGCGGGTAGCTCAATATGATCCGGACTCTCCCGCATGGCCGCCCATTCAGGCTTCAGGGCTCGGGCGAAGAATTCAGAAGTTCTTGTAAGAATATCTTGATGGACTTGAATCGACACAGCCTCATGCGCTGGTCCGATTACGAGCGTGATCATAGGTCCTCTCAGACTAGGCCATACTAGTTAGTTCTGTCTACACATACCTTTACAGACAAACTTGCCGGAAAGTCTTCGACACTTGAATGCGCGCGTTCGTAGGCTGTGAGATACCATCGCCGCTCCGTGTGATTTCGATGTCGTCATACGGACCCGGCTGGACACTTTCGTCATCAGCATCGGTGTGATCTTGCACCATGCTTTCGGCATCGTCAGTCAAATCCATGACTTTTTCTTGCGTTCTGAAGGACCTCGGGAGCTTGGCGTTTCGTCGCTGGTAGAATGCGCACTTGAGGTGTGGAATCGCGCAGGGACTGGGGAAAGAACGCCGTTGAGTAAGCGAGGACCTAGGCCGTGATGGCAAGCGGGCGCAGCCCTCACCCGGGGCGGCAACAATTTGGGTCGCATCCTCAAAAAAGTTGATAGGACTATTTTCTTACTAGAAGTGTACATTGTCGTAGACATTTTATATCCACTGAGTTATAATAGTATGTATGTAGCAAAACCCGGAAATGCAACACAAAATTATTACCACCTCTCGTGCCGTTGCGCGTGTAGACAACTACCTAAGTAGTCAACTCTATGGACAGCTAGTACTTGTTCAAGCATTCATCAAGAAGCTCTAGAGCAGAACAACGTAAGCGACGGCGGTGCGTTAACAAGCCCATCCATCGTATACCGGTCCACGGGTGGCTTGCTACCTAGGTATCTCATCGCGACATCTCATCACGTGATGCAACAATTTATCAAAAAGTAAATGAACAAAAGCAAAGCAGAGGATAGTAAGCAAGCCGGGCCAGGAAGGATTGTATGCTGAGAAAACTAGCAGCGCAAGGTGGTGGTTCTTTTGGAAAGTGCAAAAGGAGTCCTGGGGTATTGACCTTCTGGAAAAATGGACGTTTGTTGTGGACCTTGAAGTATTATTAATGTTTATGTTTGAGAAGCGCAGTAAGCAGTAATTGTTACAAGATTACAAGTCTTAGTGTCGTGGTGGTGCAAAAAGTTGGGCGGTTGGGTGGCCCCAAAACTCCACCATTTCACCCTCAACCTCAACCACAACCGCGCAAAAAAGATGCCACTTTCTACAGGCATTAAATACAACGTCGCGGACAAGATTCGAACTTTTCGTTCTCTGTTAGATGGCGCTCTGATGTGTGGTTTGGGTATATGTACCTTGCGAGGCCGAAGCCATTAGATGACTGAATGAAGAATTCAAGTCTAACCCATTAACCACTCTGGCACCGCGACTGATGGTTTGATAAGGAATTCTGCATTTAATGCATCTATGATTAGGACGTGTTGTGCTAGGTTCGCACTGCGGAATGATTTGGGTCATCGTACATGAACTTGGGCGTGGTGGGGCGCAGTTAAGTCACTTGGGCGCTTATCAGAATTTAGCCATGTCAAACTATGTGTCATTGGAACATCTAAAGACTACTCTTCCCACTAAGTACCCACAGTCTGTCACCGCCCACCTTGCCTTCCTGCTTAAGCTTGTCGAGAATCTGGCGTATCCCTCTCTCCGCCGGTTCCCAAAGGTTCTCTGGGTAGTCCTTGTAGATTACCTTTACAATATCCATAGAACCCATGCCTTGACTCTCCGCAAGTACATCCAACACCTGTTTCTCACGCTGCTTGCGATGTTTTATATACTCAGTGATTTTCGATGGACCATCTTCGATGACAGGCCCGTGACCGGGATATGCGCGACCCCTGAACTGCGTCGACATAGCGTCGAGACTCTTCATGTACGCTGCCAGATCTTCAAATACGGCTGTGCCCTGGCCCAACACGTTGTCCGCCGTGAACATGGCATCTTCTTCCTCCAGCACGAAAGCTGTGTGGTCTGTGGTATGTCCCGGGCAGAAGAAGGCACGTAGGGTTGCGCCTTCCGTCTCGAACTTCTGCCCATCACTAATCGCGAGCCAGTCGTCGCGCGGATCGTTCTTGTAGACCTTCGTGTCGGGAGAGTGCGCGAGTAGGTCGGGGACGCCTTGGATATGATCGTGGTGCCAGTGCGTCAATAGCGCTTTATCGATGGCGATGTTCTCCTTTGAAAGGAGCGACTTGATCGACGCTATCCACTGCGGTTTGCCTTCGCCAGTGTCAATGAGCAGTCGTGATGCGCCACGACCAACTATGTACGTGTTCGTGCCTAATTTACTTAGAACATATTAACCGTAATATTGCAACCGCATGTACCTTGCAGCGTGAACTTGAGCTTTGTCAGATCGCGCCGTTCCTTAGATGATAACGGCGCTCACCTTGCTGGGGTTGCCGCCGAGGACCCTGATAACCCGATCGCTGACCTGCTCAACCTCGGGAAGCGATACCAAAGATTCTGCCATCTTTGAGTAGAGTGCGCGTGTGCTAGAGGTAGCTGACGGCCATCGCAATCGCGGGCGCATGGTCGCTCTGACCTCAGGTTACAGCTGGACCAGCACAGCCGAGGCACACTGTTATCGATAGTGGGATACGACTCAACCAAACTATCACTTTTCAGGTACACTGTGCGGCAACCTGCCTTGGGCCAAACTCAACATGGCGTCAATTGAAGACGACGATGAGATACCGTAAGTCTTACTAGCTGATCGCAGCCCAAATGCTAACAAATGAAGACAGCTCTCCGGCGATGCTCTTGCCGCGCTGAAAGAATTTTATGGCGAGCGGGATGCACGACAAAAGCAGTTTGAGGAACTAAAAGGCCAAGCTGAGGATGACTTCGAAGGGAAGTTGTCCATGGACGCCTTCACGGAAGACTGGAATGCAAGTCAATTCTGGTATAGCGACGAGACCGCTATGGTGCTTGCGCGACAGCTTCTGGATGGCGCGACAGATGGGACAAGAATAGCAGTCGTGTCTGCTCCGAGTGCTTTCATCCAGCTGAAAAATCTACTGGTGAGTACTCTGGAAGCGCAAGACGAGAAAAGCTAACATTGTTAGAACTCTGGTGAAGTCAAGTGCCGGCCGCAGATTAAATTGCTGGAGTTTGACGAGCGTTTTGCCGTCTTCAAGGAGTTCGTGCGCTACGACTTCGAGAAGGCGATCCAACTACCAGCTGAGATGAAGGCCTCGTTCGATGTCATCATTTGCGACCCGCCATTTCTGAGTCAAGATTGTCAAACTAAAGGTATTTCCATGATGAGTCTCCAACAACCGTAGGTTCGATGTCGCTAACACGACATAGCTGCCCTGACCGTGCGATGGTTAGCGAAGTCATGGACGCAAGATTCTCTGCGTCTCATTGTCTGCACTGGCGAGCGTATGGAGAGCCTGGTCACAGACAAACTATACGGGAAAGTAGGAACCAAGACGACGGATTACGAGATCAAGCACGCCAAAGGATTGAGCAACGAGTTCAGATGCTATGCGAACTTTGAGTGCCCATCGTGGAAGTGGGTAAAGTCATGACCCGCGAGAACATGGGGTAGCTATATTTGAGAGAATGAATACTCCTACAACCAATGCACTAGTGTTTATGAGCATACGATTGTGATTGGTATACACATGTGAAGCATGGCGGAACCGTCCCGCCAAACAGCTACCCCACATGTCCCTCGGTCAACCCCACTTCGCTCTCAAAGCATAAGCTCGCTGCGTCATCTTCATTCACCAACCAGACCCGTACCAACCAACCAACCACCCATTCCACGAGTACCACAATGTCCTCCGCTGCATGCATCTTCTGCAAGATCATCAAGGGTAACAATCTCTTAGCTTGGCTATTCTCTCAATCGACAATGGCTCACAGAAGGACCAGGCGAGATCCCTTCGATGAAGATCTTCGAGAGCGAGAAGACACTTGCTTTCCTTGACATCGGTCCTTTGAGCAAAGGCCACTCTGTATGCTTTCTAGTCCCTCCAGTATCAACCAGCCAAAACTAACGTGCCGCCTAGCTGATCATCCCCAAACACCACGGCGCAAAGCTCCACGACATTCCCGACGACCAGCTCGCCGAAGTCCTCTCCGTCACGAAGCGAATTGCTATCGCGCAGAACATCCAAGACTACAACATCCTACAGAACAATGGAAGGATTGCCCACCAGGTCGTGGATCACGTACACTTCCACCTGATCCCAAAGCCGAACCAACAGGAGGGCCTAGGGATTGAGTGGCCAACTAAAGAAGCGGACAAGAGCGAATTGAGCAAGCTGCTGGAGGAGATCAAGAGCAAGATGTGAAGCAGCGTGTATCGCACTCGTACAGGGCATCAATGAAGCATGTTGACTCAGGCCAGAGGCGCATATCTCAGCACTTGACCAGCGCCACTAACATTCGATTATTCTCCCTTGAACACGGGTTTCCTCTTCTCCTTGAACGCGACGAGCGCCTCATCCCTATCCTTTGTTCTGACCACAAGCTCGTATGCAGCATTCTCAGCCTTCTCGCCCAACGCGCATCCCTCAACCGCTTGAAGCGCGGCCTTGATCGCTATCGGTCCACCTTCACATATCTCCCTTGCTAGTCTAATCGCTTCGTTCAGAACCTTCTTCCGCGCAGCCCCTTCTTGTTGCACGTCCTCTGCCGTGATCTCTACTAACCGGTCGCACAGCCCCAGGAAGTAGGCTTCTGGCGCGGCAACACGGCGGCCTGTCAAGATCATGTCTCGTGCGCGCGAGAGGCCGATCAAAGCGGGCAGACGATATGTTCCTCCCGCTCCAGGAAGGATGGCAAGACGCGTCTCGGGGAGGGCGACGGTCGTGGTGGACGCGAAGACACGCATGTGTGTTGTAAGGGCTAGCTCGAGGCCGCCGCCGAAAGCTGGTGCAGCCAAAGCAGAGATTGTGGGTATAGGTAGTTGCGATATCGACGCGAATGTTCCCCGCAGTGTTGTGAGAAAGTTGGACGTGCTGCCATCTGTTAGCCGTCGCTCGTCTCATGTGACCATTGTAGAAACTAGACATACTCTTCCTGGGTAAACGTAGCCCTCTCCTTGAGGTCCGCGCCCGCGCAGAAACTTGTCTCTATATCGCTCGCCAAAATCAACGCCCGCGTTGATCCCTGGTCCCCCTCATTGTGTAGGCTGTTCACTTGTTGCGTCAGCTCTGTGAGCAATTGCCGTGATATCGCATTGCGTGCCGCGGGCCGGTTGAGCGAGAGTATTCGTATGCTTCCGCAGTGTGGTGCTGGGACATTTGTGACGTTTATAGCCGGGGCTTGGGCAGTCGCATAGCCGCGAATTCCAACGGCGCGGTGTAGGATGCGGGGGTTGAGGCGGAGGATGGGCATTTCGATCGTATTGAGGATGTTTTTTTTTTGCGATTGCGATGGTTCCGTAGTCCTTCCGCCCAGAGATATTCAAGTCTGGAGCTTGAGCGTCGACGTTGTGCGCGGCGTGTTTGGCGACCTCATCGCTGATAGACCGCAGTTAGCCGAGGCACCGCGACGGCACAGCTTTTGATTTGGTCAATCTTCGTTCCTGGCGCGACACCAAATATTCAACCAGAGAACACGGGTTTATCGGCACGATCAAGACTCGACAAGCCTTTCATGGATCACATGTTGATTTTATTTGTAACTGTTGCGGTATGTCACCGGCGGTGCTTGATGTTCGGTCTTGTTCCTAGGCATGTTCAGACGCACCCGTGGACATGTTCAAGCTTTCAGTTTTGAAGACACCCGTGGACCAATCGAAGTCCTGCTATACTGTCCGCGAACCAATATCCAGCCTTTGGGACTTCGTGAGCAAGCACAACAGTATCAAGAGCAATGTCGGCCTCACCTTACCCAGGTAGTTCCTAGATCAGTCGTCTCACCCACCACCCGGCGATATTCGCATCATGGACTTAGTATAAAACAACTCTTTGCCGTTCTCTACCCCGATTCACCATGTATCTGTGTTTGATACAGACACGGCGACAAGGTCTTGTTCTGGTGACTCTAGTTGATCAAGATCCGCATGGACTCCAAAGTCTGCCCCGTACCCAGGTATTTGAAGAATCGTTGGCCGATGTAGACTTTGGAAGGGCAGCGTGCCATCAGGGACGAACGAGATGCAAATACAAGGCGAACAAACAGTAGTGGAAGCCAGAGCTCCTTTGTCGTTCTATTGCGCTGTCGCAACTACACTACGGCCTTGTACAAGGATAGCCTTTGCTACTTTCTGCTGGGTAGAGACACTCTTGACTCAGCACAGCTTGGGAACAGAACCTGGGTGCCAGGAACTGTCAAGTACAAAGCTATCGAAGGCCAAATCTCGTAAATTACCGAGAAGTCATGAGTGCAAGCCCTGACCAGTTCGTGTCGCTGCTGAAGCGCTTGCACTGGAAGGACATTCCTTGTATGTATGCCGGCTATCCATCTGCACACTCTTACGAATCCAAGTCACGTTCTTATCCTGGTACTCGGAGCCCAGCTTCATACACACTCAACCAGTTCGTACTTCGTATTCTGGGCCCAGAGCCTCCCACTGGGTCATCAACTCCTGCACCGTTACGTATGTAGTGCACCCTACATGGACACACCCGTAGACCTGGGCAATTGCAATGCAGCATCCGCACCTATGAACGGCTCTCGGCAACCGCGATGCGAGGTTTTTTATCCTGTCAACAACTCGACCTGACGATCTAAGCCCGACTTGAGGCACAACTTCGGCCCAGGACGTTTGCGGGGAAGTGACTTGTGGAGCTCCGGAGCGATCGCCATGTCACGATGCTGGGGTTCCCAAGGGTGCATTCCTTCTGCTGGCTTAGCGCCTACCGAATACCTCCACTGGGTCCGACGCTTGCTCCATGCACCGAAAATTTCTGTTACCCATGAGCCTCGTGACGATGCCTACCGATGCCTCTCGGGACTTTTCGTCGGCAACACACAAAATCCAAGATCTCGCCCCGCTTTAGGATAAACAGACAAGCTTGGAGGCGTGGAGCTTAGTCGTGTACTGTCGTATTTCGCGCACTTCCCCATACGCGCGAGTCGTGATGGAAGGTGTACCGGTATTGTGCGGAGATTGTTTCGTGGAACGTTCTTCGATCAAACTGCCAGTACCAAAGCTGTGGTTCACGGCACGTGGATGTACGCAGTAGCAGCATCATCCAGGATTCGTCCCCAGGAAGCTAACCCTGCCAGTTCGACTGCAGCAGCAATGCAAGGCGACTCTCAGTCGCGAGTCATGAGCCAACCTCACGATCCCCGCAAATTATCGCGAGTCAATCTTCCCGGCTCCGACCCTTCGTTTTCTACTCCACAACCATCTGCCGACGCGCATGCACACGTCCGACCGCCCGCTTGGCAACCGCTACGCAGCCTTGAGATGACGTCGTGCGCCTTAATACCAGGACAACACTGGTATGGTACGGAGGTGTGGAGACTCCGCAACCCGCACGGGCAAACTTCGGGACATGGTGGTGGCTGCCACATCGGCTTCTAGCCTTTTGATCGGGACGAGGACTGCCACCGGGCGGACGAGTATGCGCCGAGAGAAGAGCAGTATATAAGTGCTGCTGTGCACAACGATGATGGTCATCCAGGCACTCGATTCACCCTCGACAATCCAGAATCATGGCACCTTCCCTTGTCTCGGCCGTACTTTCGGGCTCTGTCCTCCTGGCAGCAGTCAATGCTCAGAACTTCGAAGGCGGTGGCCGCGATGAAGATGCGTTTGAGTACGTACAGCCGCTCAACACCACCATCCTGACTGAGTATGGCTCTTCACCAGCTGTCTACCCGTCGCGTAAGTTATCCTACATCACCGACCTCGCTCGTGACCAATCTAATGCTCTGCAGCAAACATCACCGGCGCTGGTGGCTGGGAGATGGGTCTTGAGAAGGCGAAAGCTTTCGTAGCCCAGCTCACACTCGAGGAGAAGGCTGACATGGTCACTGGCCAAGCCGGACCTTGCGTTGGCAACATTGTTGCTATCCCTCGTCTTGGCTTCCCCGGTCTGTGTCTTCAGGATGGTCCTCTTGGAATTCGTGTTGCAGACTACGCCAGCGTCTTCTCCGCTGGTGTCTCTGCCGGAGCGACATGGGACAAGGACATCATGTACGAGCGTGGTCATGCCATGGGCGCAGAGTTCAAGGCCAAGGGCTCTCAGGTCTTCTTGGGTCCCGTCGCTGGTCCTCTCGGACGTTCCGCCTATGCAGGCCGTAACTGGGAGGGATTCTCTTCTGACCCTTACCTCAGTGGTGTGGCAATGGAGAAGACCATCAACGGTATCCAGGATGCCGGTGTGCAAGCCTGCGCAAAGCACTGGATTGGCAATGAGCAAGAGATCATGCGAAACCCGCTTTACGAAGACGAGAACGACAACACCGAGCAGACGACGGCGGCTCTCTCTTCCAACATCGATGACCGCACCATGCACGAGCTTTACATGTGGCCCTTTGCCAATGCTGCTAAGGCCCGCGCTGCCAGCTTCATGTGCTCTTACCAGCGCATCAACGGCTCTTACGGATGCCAGAACTCTGC